TCAGCAAGCCAGGCTCTGGGCCAGTTTACAGACTCTGACAAGTCTCCTGCAGCTTTTCCCTTGCTCCTGCTTGTAATGGGGTATTATAACTTTGTTAACTGCCTCTAGTTTTCCTGCTTAGAGGAAGCTTTCTCTACCTACTTCTCCTCCCTCTGGAGAGAGGATTGCTTTACTCAGCCCAGGGAACGTCTGAAATTATTTGCTGCTACATCCGTATCTACCTTTTCTCCATCTTCCGAAATAGAGAAGATGAAGGCGAGACCATGCTTTCTGAATTCTCTGAGTCTCAGCAAAATGTAATTAATACATTTTTTCTTTTTCTAATCACGGGAGACTTCTCTGAGCCACCTAGTTACTGATTCTACTGCTCCCTCACTCCTCCTTGCATCTGCTCTTTGAAACTTGGCCTTGGTGCAGAAGTTATTCTGCTTCAAATTGCTTAAGCAGCCTCATTAGTGAAGTTGAGGACAGCCAGACCCTGCCGTGTTTCTTAAGAGACTTGGATTTTCCCTACCCCAAACATTTTAGAACACATGTGAATGCAATGACAAACTGGTGTCGTCACTATTCGTCCATTTGCTTCTACCGTTAGAAAACATCTCTTCAATTTAAAACACCCTTGTAACATGAGGTGTCACCTATTCATCCCTGGCCCCTGCTTTCTCTCTTCTTTCCACGTCTGGGTTTATTCTGTAACCACCGAATGGTAAGCCATCTTTGGGACCCAGTCTTATCACTTAATTTACTAAAAAATGTTAGTGAACGCTTGCCATGGTGCTAGGAAGAGCAGCTAAAAAGTTAGAGTTCCTACCTTCCAGAAGCTTCTAATTCAGACACTGCACAATGAACTCAAAAGAATTTGAAGTGAATATATACATATAGTATCCACTTCAAACTAGGTTCCTACTTAGATAAGGTGGTCAGGGAAGGTTTCTCAGAGGAGGTGACATTTACACCGGAGAAAAAATAGGAGCCGGCCATGCAAAATGAAAAGGGGCAGATCATTTAAGGTGATAGAAATGGCATGTGGGAAGAGAAAAAACCTGGTGTGCTTCAGGTTCTGCGAGGTCAGTGAGTGAGGTGGGAGCTGCCCAACCAGAGGGATGATGTGCTCGATGTCAGCAGGGCCAGACATTGCAGGGCCTTATGGGTCAAGGCGAAGAGTCTGGATTGTACTCTCAGTGTGATGGGAAACTGCTGAAGGGTTCTAAGTAGGGGAAGGATGTGAGTTGATGTATACTTAATAGATACTTCTCTCTGCTGAGTGGGAAGTGGACGGGAATGAGGAGTGATAAGTAAAAGTGGAAGCAGACAGGTCCCTGCAGTTGTCCAAGGGGAGATGACAGAGGCCTAGACTAGGTGGTCAGGGTCGGGGGAGGTGGAGAGAAAGAAGGTGGGGTGGGGCGTGACAACATTGCTGCTGGATGAGATCTGAGTGGTGGCGGAGCGGAGGTGTCTGCGATGCCTTCTGGGTTTTCAGCATCAATGAATCCGGCACCAATACGGGAGAGGTCTTTTCTGCCCATGGCTTTTAATGTGCTTTATCACTTAATACACTTCTCAGCAATCTGTCTTCTCTCTCTTTCTGGTTATATTCTTGTTACTCTCCATCCACACTCCAGTGGATAGAACTTTGAAGCGGCAATAATTACCTGTCTAAAGCCTAGATCAGGGGTCCCCAACCCTCTGGCTGCAGACTGGTACCAGTCCATGGCCTGTGAGGAACCGGGCCGCACAGCAGGAGGTGAGCAGTGGGTGGACAAGCCGGCAAGTACAGCTTCATCTGTATTTGCAGCCGCTCCTCTGCGCTAGCATCACTGCTTCAGCTCCACCTCAGGTCATCAGGCATTAGATTCTCATAGGAGCCCGGGGCCCTGGTGCCAGAAAGGTTGGGAACCGCTGGGCTAGAGCATGCAATGAATGCCTCTTGGCTCTGACCATGTGGGGGAGTGGTTAAGAGCACAGTCTCCAGAGCCAAACAGCCTGCTGTGCATCAGGGCTATTCCCCCTGACTAACGGTGCTCTCTCACCTGGCTTCCATAAGGCTTAGCTTCTTCAGTTGTAAAATAGGGTGAAGAAAATCGTACTTACCCCATAAGGTTGCTGGGAGGATTGGATGAGCGACTGCAGGTAAAGTCCTTAGAGCAGCACCTGGCATATGGGCTCAGTGTCAGCTCCTATTAGTGTAAGTCGGAAGGAAGCAGGTACTTTTGAGCTGCCTCTATTTCACTCTCCACCCACCTTTATAGCAGGATATAGTGTGTCGAGGCATCCCCCACGTAGATCCAATCCCATAGTGGGTTAACAAGAAAAAGCTATTTTACTAAGAATGTCAGAGGGACATAGAGGATGGAGATTTTCTTCCAAGTACACAGCATTTCATTTCAAAACCTCCATTGAAAATCTGACCTACAATGTAAATACGAGCAATTATATTTCAATAAATCTGGAAAAATGGTTATAAAAATAAAATAAAATACCAGTACATCATGTTAAAAAGAAAAAGAAAAAAAATCTGACCTCTTCTCTCCCTCTCTGGCCACTTGCAGCAAATCTACCGCCCTTCCCCAACTTCCTCCTTGCAGTTTTCCTGGCCTCCAGACCCAGACACCCCCTTTCACCTTACCCTAGGTTTTTTTAGAAACCACAATTGGTTTTGTCAATAGTAGGGAGGTAGGAGAAATTGGGGTGGGGGGCGGTGGGAAAGCATGTAGTGGAAAAAAGGGTAAACCTACTGAGCTAAGATTTTTATCTCAAGAGTTAGTGAAAGAATAGGAAATAAACCCAAGGAAAATAGAAGGAAAGAAATAATAAAGACCAGAAATCAAGGAAATAGAAAACAAAAGGAAGATTAACAAGACCGATTGTGGACCATTCTAGAAAATGCCTGACCAGTACTCCTCAAAACTGTCAGTCATGGAAAACAAGAAAAAGCTGAGAAATTGTCATAAACCAAAGAAACTAAGGAGACATGATGACTGAATGCAATGTGGTATCCTGGATTGGCTCATCGAAAAAGGCAAAGCAAAGGTCCAGTACAGTGAAGCAAGTAGCTTCAGGTAGAATTGATGCCAAGATCGGTACTAATGGCAAGTGAGGGACAGAAATTTGTGGATTTTCCTGAGGTCTTGAAAAAATCGATATCTTTATCCATTTGGTTTCTTAACTGGCAAGACCAAAGTGTCACAAGGGCTAGTACAGGCTCTGAGAAGCCCTTGGATATGAGGCCTTCGACTTTAGCTTTGAACTCTTCTTCGCTTCTGATTTCAAGGGATCTTGGGGATGTTTGGTAGGTTCTACCTACTGTCCTGGTTCTGTCCCAGTTATTTTTTCTTATGTCAGTGGACTTTGAAGATCATGTTAAAACCTGTATCTGGGCATGCACCCGATATAATGGGGAAGGCAGAGCGGAAGAAGAAATATTTTTCATTCAAGGGCCCAGGGGTTACAGTTAATGGCTGGGAGATAGGAAATATCTGTGAGTTATTTGAGAGATAGGAAGAGGTGGAGCGAAGATTAGGGGTTTAATGTAGTTAGAGTAGCACCCCTATTACCAGGAATTGATGAGGCTGACTATGTTTATTCAACTTGAGTGTTTAAGAGTAAATTGGGATGTTAGGAGTGTTTTTACTTCTCCAGAGCACCCTCATTTATCAAAATTAAGGGATTTTTTTTTTGTCTTGGTTTTCCTTTTATAAGTTAGGGCATTCTTTTTTCCCGTGTCTCTTCTGTTTATAATATCTACAGTGTCCTTGTCAAAAATGGTTGCTCAGGAAGTGGGCCACCTAGCTGTTTGGTCTGCAAGAGCATAGTTTATTTGGGATTCTGTCTCATTTTTATTCTAACTCCCTCTCAAAATGTTCTGACAGGTGTTTTAATTCAGGCAAAGGTGCTGTTTTCCATTTTAATTTATATTTTTGAATTAGGCTTCCAGTTTCAGGTTTAACTCCACTGACAGAATGAGATAAAAGCTTTTACACCAGCACCTTCATTAACTCCTGAATGTTGTCACAAGGTATTTTTCTCCTCTATCATCATCTTTTTTCCCGTTTGTATGATTGAATTCAGATCCAATCAATTTTTATTGGAAATGTTTGGGGATACTACTTTTAAGAAGACTTTGCCCTACCTATCATGCTTTTTTTTTTTTTTTTTTTTTTTGACCCTAGATTTATTGTGGAGAGATCCTGTAGATCAGTGGTCCCCAACCTTTTTGGCACCAGGAACTGGTGCTCCTATGAGAATCTAATGCCTGATGATCTGAGGTGGAGCTGAGGCGGTGATGCTAGCGCTGGGGAGTGGCTGCAAATATAGATAGATGAAGCTTAGTTCATTTGCCAGCTGCTCACCTCCTGCTGTGCGGCCCGATTCCTATCAGGCCATGGACTGATACCAGTCCCAGCCTGGGGGTTGGGGACCCCTGCTGTAGATCGCTTTCTGGGCCAGTTCAAACAGCTTTTGCCATCAAAGATTTAGCATCTGAGGTTCTGACCAATATGTGTAAAGCTGATATAGGTTAGGTAATCCTGAATCATATGCACCCAAAAGAATTTTAAATTCTTCTAGGAATAGTTGCTGGTCTTGTTAGAATGTTGAGAGATCTTCATTTATAGCTCTTAATTCATCTTGGGTCTAAAGTTTAAATTCTACAGTTGCCTGCATACCTGGGCTCATTGGAGGGAGAGATTTTTACAGGCAACTAGCATTTTGTGGTCTTAGCGGAGTTGTTGGGAAAAGGTAGGGGGTTTGGTCAAGAGGAAGAGAAGGGAGTAGTTGACATTGGTGAGGAAGAGAGAAATCAGAAGGATAAAGGTAAAGAGGGATATTGGATAAAGGGAAGCAACTGAAGGACAGAAGAGGGAGGATTTACTAGAAAATGAGTCTAGTTTGTTGCTGCCTAAGTTTGTCAAATTGCTCATTAGCTTTGGCTAAAGAATCTTTTACTGAAATAATCTTTGAACCAGAATTTCTTTTGGAGGCCTCTGAATACCAATCAAAAACAGCTGCCCATTGACCTGATAAATCTTAATCCTCCTTCTTTTCTAAGCTGCCTATCAAATAAAAAAATTATTCAAGTCAAATGTTCCTCAGAGTGGCCACTGAAGGCCCAAATCCTCATTGCTGAAGTTATGTCAATTATAGAGCGAGGCATCAGAATTAGGATTATAATAAGAACACATAAGCACAGCAGTTTTTCCTAAAGAAGGAAAGGATTTAGCCTTAGATGACCCCAGGAAAGCTGGCAACAGTTGGTTTAAAGTGATGCTTGTGTTCTTTGTGTCGTAGGCCCCCCACCTAATGGTTGGCCCTCTCCGAACACAGACCCGACAATCTGTGCTCCATGGCAGGTGAAAAATTAGAGTAAACTCTCTCTAAATAAAAGGCAAATTCTTAGGATAAAAAAAAAAAAAATCAAGATAGAAGGAGAGCCTCAGCTAGGTTCACTGGTGATTCACAAAAATGTTTGTCCAAATGGATGTCAGTCTGATGAGAATTGCAAACTCACCGGTCTGAGAGGCTAGCTCCGACAATAAGCTTATAGGGCTTATGATTCTCCTGATGACAAACGACATTTTTAGATAGCATAGGACAAAGCAGAAGTACAAAGGAGAGCCAAAGGATGAAGGGAAATGGCTTGATTCCAACAAGGATGCCAAATAAATGTGGACGAATAACAGAAGCTGGGTACCTGACTTTGAAGAGCTGAAGAACTCAATGCAACGATAGCAGAGTTCATATTAGCCACTGACTTACCATGTTACCACTGACTCGACAAGCCGCAGCAGCAAGACACGAAAGGCCTCTGTGGGTACCACATCTGGTCGAAGGCTGAAGTCCATGGTGATGGACAGTGCAGACTGTCTCAGTGGAGTCTCCAGGAAAACTGTGGAAGTAAATGAAGGCCACCCAAATAACAAACAGAGACTACTCAGAGCTTGCTAGAGCATTGCATTTGCATTGGGTAGACTCAAAGGGAGGCAGGAGAGGGGAAAAGCTTTAAGGTGAAAAAAGTAAGAAGGCTTCAAGTGTACTCAGGTTGGAGGTTTTGGCAAGGGGAAGGTGGGAGTGGGCTAACTAGAAACAGGTATCACATGTCATTGGTTTGGGGAGCATATATGGCTTTCTCCAGTTAGTCCTGAGGTGGAAGCAGGTGAAAAAATTGGGAAGCTGGCAGTCACTGACCGTGTCTTAACTGTTCTGGGCAGATTGCTGCAGGGGATGTGGTTTGGCTTCCTGGGCTACTTGCTGCAGAGGTTGTAGGTTGGGGTTCTCATCACATATGGTCTGGCCCCTGTCCATCTGTATAATCAGTCTATCAAGGTGAAGATGTCATTGAGAAGTTAGATCTCATTTAATCACCATAACTATGTCCTTGCTGTCCCTATTTTACAGATGAGGAAAGCAAAGCTCAAGAGTCTGGGTAATGTATCAAAAGTCATGTAACTAGTGAGACAAGCAGAATTTAGACCTACAAATGTTGGACCTATTTTTAACCATGTTACATCTTGTAAAGGCAATGAAATTTTTTCATTAGGTGAGTTAATGGATGAAAATAATTTTGGAGCACTTCTTTTAAAATTGTCTCTGCAACCTGCGGGATTTTTGTTTGTTTGTTTGTTTGTTTTTTAGTGAAGGCATGTCTTGATGGATTTAATTTTTGGAAACAAACATTTTTCCAAATTAAGACTGGTGAACAATGTGAGACAACCTGCTGGCACAAAACCTAGTGTGTCCATTCAGTTATAAGATGGATCTTGGGATTTTTGCATATTTTGCATGTGATCGACAAAAGTTGCTTTGAAGGCTTTTCTAAAGGAAAAGTTGTAAAAATAGTTGCATTTTGGGAATAAGAACTCAACTTTTCCAAAGTTTGAAGGCTAATGCTTATTTTAAAAAATAAGCTAAATTCTCAATATTTTGTGATTTACCTTTCTGTATAGTTTTATACGGTTCTCAAATTATCTACATCATTCAACGAATATTTGTTGAACATCAATTAGATGTTCATGTGTGCTTTGAATACAGATATGAAATACAGTCCTGTCAGTCAGGAGCTCAGAGTCTGATTAAGGAAGATAGAAAATTAACAACTGAAATGCAAATTAGACAAGTAGCATGGCTGTTAAATGGCAGGATACTCTGAGCACATGTAGTAGGAATAGTAGTGAGTTGGTACACGTTAAACAATAGATTCCTGGGGAGGTGGGATGGAAAGGTAAGGGCCTGATTTACAGCATTTGCTGATTTCCTTGGTGTAAATACTCCCACATGATGCCACTAAAACAGGATTTGGACAGATGTGCAGCAGTACACTCATTATATCCTATTTCCACTATATAGATACAATCGATATAATGTCGAAAGCATAGATAATAGTAAAATGTAGTAAAATAATTACGAAGTGATGAGTTTGAGCATTTATTACTTTTGTTTTTAATACAGTTAATTCTAAAGTTACATAATATATTGCTAAAGAGCAGCTGTATTCAAAAACCAGCTCACGAAATTACTGAACATTTAACAATCAGCTCTTGCAAGTGAGTACGAACCAGCGCAAGCGGGCTGTAGCACACTACTGGACAAGAGCAACATCAGGAATTACTGTGTACTCACTTAAGGTGACGATTGCAAGGAAATCTAAGGCAGAGATCCTACCTTTTCGTTTCTATATCTCTGATACCTAGTGCTAAGTTGTTGAATGGTCAAAGTAAATCATTAATTCAATATTTTAAAAAAATTTAGCACCTACTGTATTCTGGGCACCATTGTGGGGTGGGAATGGCAGCAAAAACCAAGGCCCTTCTTGCGGGGAGTTTACATTCATAGCTGTGTGTGTGTACATCAAGAAATATCTGTCGTAACAGGTGGTGATGATTAGAGTTAGGGTTAAAAATTCTGTAGTGCAAAAGAAAAAAGGAGTGGGGCATTGCTATTTCATAAAGAGTTGTCAGGAAATTTTAAATGTTGAGACTTATAAAGATAAGGGTGAAAGATTCTGGATCTGAGAAACATGGTCTAAGTAAGGCTGAAGCACAGACTCCCCAAATCTCACCGTTCAACAGGACTGGAACACAGTGCTCTCAAGAAAGTTTCCTTCAGAGGAGCCCACGCAGCTGCCCTTTACTTTCCTCAGCCCCTCTGCCCAAGTGCAAAGTCCCTCCTTCAAGTCGGTCTCAGGAACACCAGGGATTAATTAGACCAATCAGACGCAGCGAGGAGGGGCTAATTCTCAGTAGCATCTGAAGCCTACCAAACGCGCTGACACTCCTGCGCATGCTCAAATTCTTCAGTTTCTAGCACACTAGCTGGGGTTGTTCGCGCATGCGCGAAAGCGAGACTTAGCTATTTGACCCAAGGCCTTGCCGTACCGTCCAGTAGGCCGGTTGCATTCTCGTTCCGGGTGTGTCGTCTGTTGACTGTTATTTCAGGACAGTCGTCTGTTGACTGTTATTTCAGGACAGTCACCACCACCGACATGAACCGCGAGAGCTTCGCGGCGGCCGAGCGGCTGGTGTCGCCGGCTTACATGCGGCAGGGCTGCGAGGCCCGCCGTTCTCATGAGCACCTCATACGCCTGCTTCTGGAGAAGGTACCGCGCTGTTTAATTTCCCCCTCGCCCGGAGCCGCCGCGCTGCCAGGCCCGCCCCGCCTCCCTGGTAGTGCTGAGTCCTGCCTCGCGCGCTCCTATTTGCTGGTTGAGACCTGTCCCCAGAGTCTGTCTCAGCTTGACATGCACAATAGTGACTTGCTGCACTCAGCTCCTCAACCTCACCAAAGCCGGCAAAACCCAGAGTGTTGCTCAGCTCCTTCTCAACCTCACCAAAGCCGGCAAAACCCAGAGTGTTCCTAGGGCACGTATGGGTTCGGGATTTTGAGTCCCATTTTATTTAGCTTTGGGATGCGTAAGTGTGTGGAAGTCTCAGTTGGTTTCCTTTTTTTGTTTGTTTGCGGAAAGGCCAAAGTTCGCATCGCCCATCTTTCACTCCTCCCTGGGACTCGGGAAACACATGTTTGTAAACCACGATATACCAACTCGAAGCAAGTGCTGCCTCGGAACTTCACAGGTCTTGCTCCTGCCAGGATTTCTGGATTTTAATTGCACTAAATTTAGACAACCCATAGTTTTAACACTATGGTTTGAAGAATCTTCGTTGAAATTAAGGTTTATTGGTTTCCAGTTACTTTAACATACTGCAGCTTGAAATCTGAGTCGATCTCATCGAGTGCATTTATCACTTTGCAATCCAAATAATTGTAATACAGTGTAGGGTAAACATACTGCCTATTCGAGTGCTAAATTTGTGCCTGAATTTTTGAAAGCAAAGAGCATGGCAAAATACACCTTAAAAAGTTTTAAAAGCCACTGAGGTAGGCTTCTAGGGAACGATGGTTTTCTTAAATATAATTGTAAGTTTTTGTTTGTTTGTTTTTAAGGGCAAATGTCCAGAGGATGGCTGGGATGAAAGCACACTTGAACTCTTCCTACACGAGCTTGCCATAATGGATAGCAACAATTTCCTGGGCAATTGTGGTGTGGGAGAAAGGGAAGGGAGAGTGGCATCTGCATTAGTTGCTCGGCGTCATTACAGGTATTTTTTCAAGAAGCTTGTGAAAACTTTTTTTTGCTTTGTTTTTTGTTTGTTTAAAAACAATGGTAGCAGTTTTCATCATATTATAAAATGTCCCTTTGTAACCTACTTTGTTCAAATGGGCATGTAAACTAGATGCAGCGGAGATGGGAACAATTTATCTGAGTAGGTACTTTTTGAGACAGTAAGGTAAAAGTTCTAGTATGTGGTGGTCACCATGTCAGGTTCTGGGTGATTAACAGAACTGGCTGTTGATTCCGTTGAGAATGTTTAACCTAATAAACTTATTTTATGTAAAAGTTTAAAGTACGTTAAGGTGTTTATAGTTTCACATGTTTCTTTTGTAGAAAACTAATAAACTTATTTGGTGTAAAAGTTTAAATATGTTAAGGTTGTTTATAGTTTTCCATGTTTCCTTTTTACAATTGCAAGTTTTTTTGGAGAATGATGTATAATAGGTACAACTTTAAAATGTTGTTCATCTACATCTAAACTATATCCGTTTTATAAGTACCTTTATTGCAATAGATATAGGAAAAAGTATTTAATTTTAAATTATTAAAATTACTGCATTATTTTAGAAAGCTTTTCATCAATTCTGGTAATCATTTAATTGATAGTGATTTCAGATAACATCATTTATCTGTTCTCCAGCCTTAATGTGAAATACAAGTAAACTCTTAAAAACTGTTTTCCTTGATTTTAACTCAGATGGCCTCCATGTGGCTTTGGCTTCTCCCAGCATGGTATCTGGATTATAAGAGGGAGCCCCCTAGTTGGAAAGCTTCAAGGCTTCTTACGATCTAGCTCAGAAGTTCCAGACCATCACTTCTGCTAGATTCTTTCTGGCCAAGCAACTCAGTAAGGCCAGCCCAGATTCAAGTGGAGGGAATTAGACTCCATCTCTTGGTGTGGCAGTACCATATAGGCATAGGGAAAAAAGGAATTGGCGGTGGCCGGCCATCTTTGGAGACTAAGTAACACAGCATAATTGATGAATTTTTTAATTTAATAGGATATTTTCCTATTATCAATAGTTTATGAAAATACATCTACAGTAGTCAAGTATTGCTTCTGTTTTTTGTTGTTGTTGTTGTTATTGTATTTGTATACTTATGCAGTGGATTACTTAGAACACTGAATATTTTTGTCCAGTTGTTGACCCATTTTTTGCTTAGGTTAATTCATGGAATTGGACGATCGGGTGATATTTCTGCTGTGCAACCAAAAGCTGCTGGTTCTAGCCTTTTGAACAAAATTACCAATTCTTTGGTCTTGGACATCATAAAGTTGACTGGTATGTACTGTGTTAATCATTAAAACTTTTGGCTAACTAGCCACACACTCCTTTGCCCAATTTCTTGTATTAATACCTCTTTCCAAAAAGGATGTAAACATCTTTTGAAAAGTTGTATATATCTTTAGAATAATGTAGAGAATCAGAGGTATAAGCATGGAGGATGAATTTGGCTCTAAGATTCCTGAGACCAAGTACAGAAGAAGCTCTAAGTCTACACAACCCTTTATTTGCTAGAAGTATATAATTTCAAGAAGGGTGCTGGTTTTTCAATGGAATAACTAATTTCTGTTTTACTTCGTATTCCTAGGTGTCCATGCAGTGACCAACTGCTTCGTAGTGCCTATGGCAACTGGTATGAGTTTAACCCTGTGTTTCTTAACATTACGACACAAACGACCAAAGGCAAAGTATATTATATGGCCACGAATAGACCAGAAGTCCTGCTTTAAATGCATGATCACTGCAGGTAAAAGAAGACAAGCGGTATATATAATGTCTTTCATATCACAGTGAGACATTTCTAACTTTTTATGTAGAGATGGCTGAATGAAAAGAAACTAAACCTATTCCTATTTCTTTTTATTGTGGTAGTAACTGTATAGCTTCATGACATTATGTACATTTATATTGTTGTGCAGCCATCACCACCATCCATCTTGAGAACTTTTTCATTCTCTTAAACTGAAATTCTGCCCATTAAAGAGTAACCACCCTCTCCCCACTAACCCTTTCCCTAGCACTCATCATTCTACTTTATGTCTCTACCAATTTGACTACTCTAGGTCCTTTGTGTAAGTGGAATTATATTTTCCTTTGTGACTGGCTTATTTCACTTAGCATAATATCTTTAAGGTTTATCCATGCTTTAGTCTTTTTCTTTAAGACCGACTGATATCCCATTCTGTGTGTATGTACATGCGTGTGTGTATATATCCCACATTTTGTTTATTCATTCATTGATGGAAACTTGGGTTGTTGGCACCTTTTGGCTATTGTGAATGATGCTTTTGTGAATAATGCAGCATCATTCACACATGGGTGTACAAATACCTGTTTGAGACCCTGCTTTTTAAATTCTTTTGGGTAGCTACTCAAAAGTAGAATTTCTGGATCATTTGTTACTGTTCTTTCGAATGGGAGTATGATTACCTCACTTGATTGTTTCGAGGATAAATGGGATGACATAACGGTAATCCCTGGAGCATAAAAAGTGTTTAGGAATGTTTGTTGTATATACACGAGTGGAGTATACGTAAATTATTGCCATGAATCAAAGTGCAAGAATACAGGCATCATTAAGTGTAGGTGAGACAAAACCTTTAAATTAGTGTTTTAGTATTTGACTTGCTTAAGTCAAGTTGAATTTGAGAATTTAAGGTTGTTATTAAATGGTTAGAGTCTGTTGCATGAAATGAACAGTATAGGACTATAATTAACTGAATAAATCTAAAACTCATGTAAAGGGATTCATAGTAAGGACATATAGCAGAAACTGATAGGCTTTTAAAAATATACTGATTTAGGTGGCATGAAGTTGTGGCATAAATTTATATCTTGTTAACCAAAGAATTGATAACCAAACTTATAGAAAAGATTGCCACATTGGAAGACTGGAAAGTTCCAAAAGATGTTAGGATTTGGACTACAATTTACAGTTTATTCTTTTTTAGGATAGCCTCTAAGGAACCAAGATAGTTGTAGTCTTTTTCAAAAAACTAATATTTTAAGTATTTGAAAGCTGAAATAAGGTCAGGTTGAGAGAATTTGAGAAATAATAGAAAATTAGCTGTCCTCAGGAAGCTACAATTCAAAGTTTCATATGTTTGTTTTAATGGCTATGAAGGTAAAGATATAAAGCTTGGACATCTCTGAATCAACATATTTGAAATGTTGATTTTATACTGGCTGAAGTTTTATATTTCTGTAGATAGAATATAGACAACTTGATGTGGATCCTAAAACACAAAAGAAAACTACTTGCCCTTAACTTTGCTATAACTTTCTGTGTGACCCTGGGGAAGCCACTTAATTTTCCTGAACTTTGGTTCCCTTATCTTTGAAATAAATGAGTTGAGCTAAATGGTTTCTAAATTCTTGCAGCTTTTAAATCTTAAATCCATGAATTTAGCCTGCTGCGAGATTAGGTGTTTGGGGACACTGAAGATGTGACTACATGATAACATTATGTGCAAAATTTCCCAGGTTAATTTTATACAATTTCTGAGACTTAATACTTAGTTTTTACTTTTACCCTAAGTACTTAGTGGTGTCACAAACTTGATTAATATAAGTGCTTTGTATATTATTTAGTGTATATATTGTTTATACAACATTTTAAGATTATACCTAAATATTTACTATATAAGGTCACGTAGTTATTATTTGGGTGAACTTTTGATTATATGCTAGTTAAGTGTACTAATTCCATTGAAAATTGGAAAACAATTTTTACGTTTAAATTACAGAAGGCTCTTGTAAGCTATGAGATGGGTCAGTGATCTGTAGGCTCCTAAAATTTATTATACTTTTCTTTAGAGATAAAACATTAAGGTGATGATTGTGATTTGTTTCAATACTTGAATTATTTTTGTCCATCTCTGAAATAAAGTGAACTTTAAAATAAAACTTAAATATTTTCAGAGAATGGGTAGATTTACTTTTCTGAGTACTGAAATTGAACTGGATTAAATGATCCTTTTTGTGATCAATGACTGTGTTATTACTTTTATAGATATCTATTTAATGTTTTGTTTCCTTCCCCAAATTAGTCTTTCTTGTCATAGCAGAAGTTTAAATAGATTTGTGGTCCTAATTGTAGTCTAGTTGTCCTTTAGATTATTTTGACCTGCCTTTGACTCATACCAGTATTGAGCCAGGTCTTTATTGCTAGAGGAGGATTCATCAAGGAAAATAAATATTTAGAGTTTTTGTGTGAAATAGTACTGCTTCCTAGAGTTCCATGATCTTCCCTTATTTTTGTTTACACTAACATCTTACTTCTGTTTGGCTTGGTTAGGTTTTGAGCCTGTGGTGATAGAGAACATTTTAGACGGTGACGAGCTGCACACAAACCTGAAAGCAGTGGAGGCCAAAGTCCAGGAACTTGGGCCTGATAACATTCTGTGTGTTCATTCTACTACATCCTGTTTTGCTCCAAGAGTGCCTGATCGGTAACTGATTTAGGAATATTGTCCTTTGGGGGGCCATCATTTTAAAAATAAAATGCATGTATAGTAATTCTCAGAGATGCTTAAGTAACATTTGTCAGTAAATAGGTGAATGAATGCTTTTAACAAAATAGATTGACTTTGTGGAGCAACAGCATAATTGATTGAGAAAATAAAAATTTGATAAAGAAGGAGGAAAAGCAACTAAATACTGAGTGGAGCAAATGCAGAGCATGTTTTCTTTTTTTCTGTTTTCTGATCTCTTAGCATCTTCCTCCTTATTATTTAATAGATGTTTCTAAGCTACATGATGGATTTACTTGTTTTCATTACTACCTCTACTTCTTTGATTTTATAGTTTTCATAAATAGAAAACAGTGTAAAGTATCAGCATGATACGTATCAGCATTAACAGATTTTAAACAAAAAATTTTAGGATTATTTATTGCCCTTTGAATTTTTTTTAATTGGAAGATTACACTTAGGTATACATAGTGATTGTCTTTGTATTTTGAAAAAAATGCAAATATTTAAGAAAATAAAAAAAGCAAATGTTTATTTTTCCAAAGGATGGCCACAAATTTTTATTTGGAAAGTGTAGTAGGCTTAGGTATAGGAATACAGATTTCTAGTTTTGACAGCAAGTCTGTTGTATTTTAACATTTTGAATAGAAGCACTAGTAATTTGTAAAAACTACATAGACTTTGGATTATTTTTATAGCATCAAGTTATACTTTGGTTTTTATGAAATCACATCATTCGGCAGTAATGAATGCATATTGGCTTTTATTATAGGCAGACTTTAAGAGACAATGTTAAAGCCATACTCTTGAAAATTTACCTTGCCTCAATTATGAGTATGAATTTGATTGTAAGATTATATTGTGTATGCTTTATTTATTACTTACCAATCATATTTTAAATTTACATTGAAATAGTAATGCTATTTTTCATTGATGGTTTTGTTATCTAGAGAAATTTTAATATGATGGAAATAAATCACATTTCCAAAAACAGCATATAGATATTTATACTCATTAGATTATTAATCCTTGAGGATAATTTGTTTTTGTTTAATGTATTACTTCCTTTGGAAAAAATCGTATTTTTCTTAGCAGAATTTTCATATGCTGCCTTTTAGTGGTGTAATATGATGAATGTTTCTTATAAGAGTGAACTTTAAGAAAATGGTGATGCACCATTATTAGTAATATGGTTGAATTTCTGATTTTATTAAATTTAAATACATTTGATTTCTTTACATTAAGCTTAATTCTTTTATAGTCTTAATTTGAATGGGCATATATTGTCTTTATTAGTTCATTAATTGGACAGAGAGCATTGTAGGGCAAAATCAGTCAAAGGAATGGTTAAAAAAAAGGAAGTGTATCATTTCTTCTAATTAATAAATACCTTAAATTTGCTTCTAAGTTAGAATACAGTTTGATTCACATGGAAAATATTTTTTTCAAGTCTCTGCCTTTTGTCGAATATCTTTATATATACTCTATTAGCAGATTTGATCAATTCAGAATATTTAAAACTACTTACAAGTGATTTTTTTTAAAATAGTACTTTATGTTATTATGGTGCCTTCCTCTCAAGGAAATTTATTATTAAAGTTTGCTTTCATTAGAACACAAACATGTGAAAGTGCCTTTTATGAAGAAAACACTGTGTGTATCCCAGGTCTGTTTTGTTAAAAACAACACCTGATTAGTTTAACAGAAAGATTTTCTGTGTTGATTTGTGAGACTTATGAAAAGGAATGATAAAATGAGTTTTTAATTCATAAAACTTGAAGTAAATCGTCAACTTCCGACAGAGGAACAAAATAATGTTATTCCTATTTGTACTTTAAAAACAATGCACATCTGTAAATAATATATTGTGCATTAATGGATGTGAAAACTATATATATTTGAAATACATCCTGTGGGAAAGAACTTTTATTGTGTAAAAATTCTTTGGTTTAAAATTCTTTTATTATAGAAAGAATATTTTCTTTAAATTAATTGTATTTAACCATGGGATTTAGTTTTAGCTTCACAGCATGAAGACGTTTCCATTAGGGGTGACCTCAGTCACAAGTAGTATTTGATTTTGCAAAGGAATATCATTTATTATACTCTAATTGAAATCTAATTACCTTACTTTGCATAAGGTTACTCTCAGATTGACTTAATATGAAAGTGAAAATTGTCACATGAAAAAGTAAGAGTGAACTTAAAACCAGCAGCTATTTAAAAGATTCTTCAGTATTCAAGTTGTTGGAAAATGTTATTTTGGTACTGAAACATTTTAATGTTCTGTATTTTTTTAATACATTGAAATCTGAAAATATATTTTTTACGTTATAGGATGTTTAATGTGAGCTTTCTTAAGATTTCAAAATATACTAATTTTGTAGATATTAGCTTTAGTATAAGCATTTAAACATGAATATACAGCCTTGTAAAGGGTCATTATAAATAATCTGCTTCTTGCTTTTTATATAGGAAATTTTAAAGTGACTTAAAAGCTACCAACTATACAGATTTTTATAAATACACATTTTGTCACTTATTGGTAACAATTTAAAAGTTTTTTAAAGTTTATCCTAAAGTACCTGTTATGTATTTCCAAACTGCCGAATTACATGCTTAAATACTGCTGTAGAAATTTCAGTTTTCTCATTTTTTCCTAATGTACATTAAGAATATTAAAATAATTTTCACGTTATAATTTATAAAAGCACAGTGCGACTGTGTCTTTCTGTTGAATATTTATAGATTAGAAGAACTGGCTGTGATTTGTGCTAGTTATAGCATTCCACATATAGTCAACAATGCTTATGGATTGCAGTCTTCAAAGTGTATGCACCTCATTCAGCAGGTAAGAGACTAAAAGGATGTGTCAAGAGAATATGGATTTTAACATAGTATATGGTTATTATCTGTTTTTTCTTAAAATCTGATATAGTAAAACTTGTTATCTAGCGCCTTTTACTTTCTGGAGCATTAGAAATTTACATTCAATATTCACTCAGTAAAAGTCATTTTATGGTAGTATGGTGGCAATTGGACTAATAGCTTAGGTCAGAACCAACATAGAAATACTTAAGTAGCTTAGTTTTTGGCTTTCTGAGGATGTTTCATTACCAAGATTCTCATTTTTCTAATATACTGGATTATAGTATTTTTAAAACAATGTTGATGATTTGTCCTATATTTAATATTTAAAGAATCACTTTACCCTCTTTTCCTAGACTAGAAAAGACTTCACTTATAAACATTCTAGCATATAACTATGGAGTTAGCAAGTTTTTAAAAATTTATGACATTTTATTTTTATAAGCATCAGCTAGATCCCAGGCATCTGTTTTAGAGTCTTATTTTGAAAATATGACTTGGCTGGCCGTCCCGCTCAGAATAAGAGTCACCGCCGTGGCCTGCTCTGCTTTGTGTTTTTGGGTCTCTGCAGCTTCTCTGATTTCACTTTCCGCTGCTCTTTCTTGCCACAGGTGCCTCCTTACTGTTTCTCCGTCACACCACATGTGTGCACTCCACCAGGCTCTTGCTCATTCCTTGCGCTAGATTGCTTTTCTAGAGAGTTGCATGGCTTCTTACCTCACTTTTTTTTTAGGCCAATGAAACCTTCTCAGACACCTGATCTAATGTAACACCTTCCTCTTCCTTGCCAGCATTTCTATTTCCCTTTTCCTGTTTTACCATATTAATTTTAAGGTGCACATTTTTTTCACTTTATAACATCTCTGAAAAATTGGGATGTTTTACAGTCATTGGTGTCTTGTAATGTTAATTGGCAATTTTTTTCTTACCTAGTGGTATATAAAATAATTTTGTTTCTTAAAATTGATGGCCTCTTACTCTTTTTCTCCGTAGTACTTATCACGATTTGATAGGTTATTTATTGTCTAGTTATTGACAGTAATTAGAATTAAATTTCTGTTAGGGCAAGGACTTTGTTTTGTTCACTATTATGTCTTCAGTGCTTAAAATAGTACTTGGTACATAATTGACAATAACTACTGAAAAATTGATTGAATAAATGAAGTATTATATTTACTTACAATGATTAATTTTTCATACTATATTAGCATATAGATTGATATCTGTATATGATATGAGATATAATTTGTGTACATAATGATTTTCATTACATATTCAATTTTGACATACATGTGGTTTGTGTTATGGGTGCATAAGTTATTCACACATTATCTGTGGCCTCCTCTAACGTGATGAATGCTCCTTTGCCCAGTAGATCCTATCTAGTAAATATTTTTATTTTTCATCATTTTGAGTTTACTAGTATCATCTCTGATATAAATGTGATTTATATGACAGTAATACTGCTTTGCTTAATTTCTTTACTCAAAGGTTGTAAAGATGTAATTAGTTGTAAGGATGTAATTTGTTGTAAGTAACAGAAATTCCTGTTCAAATTAGCTTAACCAATAAGGAAGTAAGTTTGTTTATATAACATAAGTCCAGGGGTAGAGTATGGTATGTCAGGGTTCGTTAAGATCTTTGTAGGAAAACTACCATTTCCTTGGTATCTTTTTCTATTATTCCTTAACTTTCTAAGGTGTTGTCACAGTTCTAGACTAGATTATATCTAATCTGAATGGTAGCAAAGGAAGCTTGTATAATTTTCTATGCTGGAAATCTTAAGAACCATTTTATTCCAGTGATTCATTATCATTCCTCTTCTCATTTTCCCTTTCTCCTTCTTCCTTGATTTTTAGCAGCCTCAATTCATTTAAAAGTCAAATACATCAGCATGACTAAAGGTTTAGAAAAGTGAGGAAGGAGTAGATGATCATTCATAACTGTATTCCCCTAACAAATACTCTTAATAATTTATGAACCCACTTTTTTCTTTTTAATATACATTTACTGTTTTTTATATAGTTGTAAGCATTGTGTACATTTAGAATTAACTTTTAAAAACATAATGAAAAATATATTTAATTTTTAAACTTAAATACAAACTTAGATTATAGTTCTATACATGCCTGTAAATTTTCATAATGATCATTTTAATAATTTCTTAACATTTCCTCACATGTTGTTTACTTAGAAGTGCTCAGTGTTTTGGTGCTCACACATTTTCGAATATGAGAAATCTGATGGCGTTATTAAGAGATTAAGACCAAAAGAAAATGAACTCCAGGGTACGACATGAGAGGTGCCCTTGGAGTTGTGCATCACGAATTCTCGATTTGTCATCACCTCTCTTCATTTGTGGGGTGGTTTCACTAAAACTTTAACTAGAAAATAACACTTAAAGATGGGCAAATGAATTTTTTAAATGTACCTATTCTATTGTTGCAGATATATATTACCTTCTAAAATTGCCATTTTTAAAAAAAAAAAGCAGTACACGAACATTTTATTTTTCCCTCATGGAAAGAGGTAGTGCGGTCTTGCTTTAAATCACATAAATACTTGGATCATGTTGAGTGCTAGTTGCTGTTCCAAGACATTCTGAAAAATTAAGAGTTAGCTTTAATTCTTCCCAGTAGTTCTTTTTAGGGGTGTATACCATTTACTGAGTACTCACCGTGTGTCAGGCATCCTGCTAGACTTTTAAAGTTTATTAACTTAATCCTAACAATTTAAGGTACATTTTTTTATTGTTTCCATTCTACAAATGAAGAAACACTCAGAATTAAGTGACTTGCCCAAGGTTGAGAGCTACAAAATGGCCCATCTGGTTCATTGTGACTCCAAAGCCCCATACTTTTCTCTAAAAGACAAAGTACTTAAACTGCAAATACTTTCTTGAGAAGATGGTGTAATGCGATAGTCAGTGAAGAGCTATAACTAAAATATGTCAAGACTCTTTTTTTTTTTTTAAGAATGATACCCCAAAAAGACAATGCTGAGCATATAGAACGTTCTGGTATGCACATGTAGTCCCCAGGAAGTTAGCTTTGAACAACCTACACTTCCATTTATATACTGAACTGACTTATTCAGGAGACTCGTGGAATATAGATGTTAGGACAGCTTAATGGCGGGGGATGTAGTAGTGTAGTAGTCACAAAGATACACAGGATTAATTATTTTAAGAGTCAGAATGGATTGTAAAGCTCCAAAGTGTGGGAAACAGCAACTTTGCTTAAGAATTTGAGAGAAGTAGGTGTTATACTACTTATTCACAGACCTAATTGTTTATTCAACAAATATTTACAGGGTTCCCACTGGTATGCCAGGAACCAGGGTGGGTACTGGGGATGCAGTAGTGCATACGACAAAATCCTATCCTCATGGGGCAGAAGCAGACAGTAAACAATGAATATGACAGGTCTTGATCAACACTCTCGTATTTGGGTGGAGGAGGGGTGTCAGATTAGGTGGAGTGATCCAGGGTCCTTTCCAAGAATCAGGTAGTTGGGAATCCAAGTATGTGAAGGACTGGCTTAAGTTACATGTGGATTTTCGACTGTGCATGTAGGTGCTCAGTACTCCTAATCCCTGCATTGTTCGAGGGCCAGCTGTAAGTGTTATGTGAATAATTACCTGTTTTATTCACTGTAGCTCTTCTCAGAACCTAGGGCAGTGCTTGGCAAATGATAAGTGTTCACATATTTGTTCTATGGATAAATGAGTAAATGAACTGATAAATGACAACCCTTTACTTCATAGACCATGTTCCTGTGTTCCTATTCTATTTAAGCCCTTCTATCTTTCTAGTGTTCCCGCCCCCCCCCCACCCCCCCTTCTATTTGACAGCCTCTGACTTTAGTGTGGGAAATAAGATCTCTATACCATTCCTGAGATTGGGTCCAGTGTGCTGCCCTTTGAGTGCTTGCTATGTTTTAGTGATAAAGGGATTTGGCAAAGTCTAGGACCCTGATTGTTCTCATAGTAATCCTGCTCCCAGTTTAGGTTTATGTTTCTCTCAGGAAGCCTTGGGCAGTACTTAAGTATTAATAAAAGGCAACTCTAACTGTTGCATTCTATTTCTATATACTACTACTTTGCATGTTTTTCAATTATTCTATTAGTCTTATTTTCTTAGTGCTTCTGTTTTCCTGCGACATGGTGAGATTTTTCTGCAATCATAGTTTATGAGGAAATTAAAAGGGTAATGGGAAAGTTAAGATTTAAACAATCCTGTGATAGCCTCCAGAGTAGTCAGCTCCCCTCTCCAGCTTTTACTGCTGCCTGTTTCCTGGATCTGGTCTCTTAGATTAGGCCAGCTATCTGCTGCTTCTCTCTGAGATATGGATGTGGAGAGAAACTGTGAAGATGAAGGTCACATGCGCTTATAATATTAATAGGAATGTAGATTGTGAATACAGATTGAAAATCTGTAGCCACAGATAAAGAAAAAAAAAATGATCTTATTTGAAATTTAGATAGTATCTCTGTTTTTAAGAGGAGAAAATTGAACCACATTAGACAGAAGGTCATAGACTGTGTTGGATGGGAACTAGAACTTAGTTTTATATTTCTGGTAAGTATTCAATTTTTCACCAGAATATTAGATTTTCACTTGAAGTTCATTTGCAGTGGAATGAGATCATCTAAGATTATAATATTAGGAAACATGAATTAATATAGAAATATTGCCAAGAGTATACAGAAAAAATTTCCATTAGTTGATGTTTAAAATAATTTTTTTTCCTCTTGTTATCTGAGTAGTGGTAGGAGCAGAACTTATTGCTTAAAGTGATCATGCAGGTAATATATTATCCTAGCATCAAAGAGAGGCTTTTAAATGTATAACTAATTGATTGGCAACATGGGTGGTGGCAGTCCATTAGGTTATGGTGGCCACTCTTAACCTCACAGGTGTTTAAAATTACTTAATAGTTTAGGGCCCACTGTTGACTTTTATTGTTAAATAGAAGATCACAGATGAGCAGCACAGGAGGAATCCACTCTGTCTTACCAATTTGAAGGAGGAAAAGCTCTGTTTCAATATAGTTACCACCTGAACTGATACTGAAACCCTGCTTTCCTCACAGGATTGTGAGCATTAAATGATTTGTGTATGAAAGCAAGTTGTAAACTAGAAAGTGCTCTTCCACCTACAGGGAGCAGCGTTTAAAAACTCAGATCAATACCTAAAAATATTACAGATGTTACAAAGAAATACAAATATTTTGATTTTCATTAATTGTTTTAATGGTAGTTATTTGTTAATAGCCATTGTTTCTTCTTCTAAAAACTAATGTGTAATACTACATGTTATTTCATTCTAGGGGGCTCAGGTTGGTCGAATAGACGCTTTCGTTCAGAGCTTGGACAAAAATTTTATGGTTCCAGTAGGTGGCGCTATAATTGCTGGCTTTAATGATTCCTTCATTCAGGAAATTAGCAAGATGTATCCAGGTAAATAAATCAGTTGCTCTTCAGAAAGAGTAACAAAAAAAACTTCATTTGTACATAGGCTACTATAATAAATCTTAATTTCCAAAGCTTTTTTCCCCTCCCGGATGTAACTTGTTCATTCTTATTTCAGGAAGAGCTTCAGCTTCACCTTCTTTAGATGTCCTTATTACTTTATTATCACTTGGATCAAATGGCTATAAGAAGCTATTAAAAGAAAGAAAGGTAAGCTTTCCCTTTAGGTGTAAAATAATACTCCTGACTAGAACAGCACTCCAAATCATTGATGTTTTTGCCTATTGGTTTATCACTTTGGATTATAGATACTTAGTATCGTCCTAGGGGATTTACTTTGATCTGGGACTACCCTGGGCGATTTGCAATTAATCATTATCATTCCGTTTATCCAGATATTAGGAGAATGGTGGGGAATCTTGCATAGGTGACTTTGCTTTTTTTTTGAGAAACTCCTACATCAAGGAATCTTCGTAGTTTAGTAAAATTCATCGTATTCGTCACTTAGATAGAGGCTCTTGAAGGATAAATGGACAAGCCTTTTCTTTTTAGTTTTTGGAAACTCATCGTCTGGTATATAAACAAATTGTGATACATATACACACAGCAATAAAAAGGAACAAACTAATATATGCAATAACATAATAACTCTCAAATGCATTATGCTAAATGAAATAAACCAGATTCAAAAGACTGCATATTATATGGTTTCATTTGTATGCCATCTTGGAAAAAGCAAAAAATAATCAGGACAGGTAAAAGATGAGTGGTTACCAGAGGCTTGGGTTGAGGGAGGGGACTATTGGCATGGTAAAATATGAGAGTAGTTTCATAACTGTATATGTTTGTCAAAATTCAGAGAAGTGGGCACCTGAAAAGTGGACATCTAAGATTTTACTGTATGTAATTGTCTCAATAAACCCGAGAAAAAAATTTAGATGATTAGAACTTCAGTTTGATAAACTCCAAAAAGTAATCATGGTCATAGATTGTTGTAGCCAAGGGAAGACCTCAGCAAGTCTTTCAAGGAACCTTCTCCACACGGCAGATGAAGCCTTTGTTTATAGATGAGGAAGACTGCCATCTGTTTACATGAGAGGGCCTTAGCTCTCTGGTAACTAGTTGTTTCATTATGGAAAAGATACTTAACTCACAGATTTTATTTCCTCATTTATGAAAGAGACAATTGATATCTCAGGCCACTTCTAGTTCCAAAAGACTGTAGAATATTTCTTAAAACAGCTACTTCCTGGACCATGGGCATTATAATCATGATAGTTGGCCTATAATTTAGTAATCTAGCACATTATGTTGGTAATTTTTAAGTCAGACATTTTGTAAGGTTGAAATGTTAAGACGATGGTCTCATAGTAGCTCATAACCATTTCCACTCCTACTAGGCTGTCTTGGGCTTACCATCTAAACAATGACAAACCCACTTATGGTAGCATGGTCTAAAGTATGGACCAGTGTTTTCGTGAAATTCAAAGTAGATAAAGTTGAGTGTGGGGTAAGTTTCATTGGTTAAATATTTATTAAGCATATATTATGTTTTAGGAATATAATATTGATATAGCAATCAATAAATAGAGATGCCAGCTCTTGTGGCACTTATATATATTGCAGATTGGGGAGACCAGCAATAAAGAAGTAACATAAAACATAAATTATAAAAGTTGGCTTAATACGTAAATTATAAAGTGAAAAGTGCTCTGGAAAAAAGAAAGAATAGAGTAAAATAAGGAGAATTAGGAATGATGATGTGGTGGTAGTGGGAATTGATTTTTTTAAATACAGTGGTTAGGGCGGGCCTCATTTTAAGGTGACATTCAAGTCAACATGGAGAAGTCTGAGGGAGCGTACATGTGTGATGGAGTTTCAGGCAGAAAGCCAGTATAAGGACTAGGGCAGTAAAGAGAGTTAGTAAAGAGGGCCGGAGCAAAGTGAGCATGGAGAGTTTTGAGAGCCAAAGTCAGGGAGGTGATGGGGGTGGGCTGATCATGCAGGGCTTTCTAAGCCATAGTGAGGTCTTCGCCTCAAATTCTGAGTTAAATAAGGAACCACTGGAGGATTTTGAATAGAAGAGTATCATGATCTGACTTATAGTTTGAAAGATCACTTTGGTTGCTGTGTTGACAGTAGGAGGCGGGGGGCGGGGGCAGGCAGGGTAGAAGTTGGGATACCTATTAGGCTTTTACAGTAGTTAAGAAGTGATGTTAGCTTATATCTAGATAGTGACAATGGAGGTGATGAGAAGTGGTTGGATTCTAGGTCTGTTTTGAGCCAAGAGGAGTTCCTGATGAATATATTGTATGAGAGAAAGAGAGAAGTCAGGAATGGTTCTGAAATTTGTGACTCGTGCAGTTGGAAGGACGGAGGGGCCATTAACTGAGATGGGTAAGCCTGTGGGCCTCCGGAGAACACCAGTAGTTCAGTTCCCAGCAAAATTGAATTCAGGATATCCATTGACATCTAGATAGAGATGTCACGTAGAGAGTGGGATATGAGTCTTGTACTAAGAGAAAGGGCTCGGCTGGAGATAAAAATTTGGGGAGTTAATTGGTCAAGAGACTGGATGAGATTGCAAGAGAGTGAGTCTAAGCAGAAAAGAAGTACAAGAACTGAGCTCTGGGGCACTCCAGTGTAAAGGGGTCTGGGAGAAGAAAAGGGACCAGCAGAGGAGTTTCTGATAACAGAAACTTGGAGAGAAAACAATGTCATAGAATTTTAATACTTATGGGTAGATAATATTTTGTGGTGTTTGAGGTGGACTGCACAAATACCTCAAATATCAAAGCTTGAAAATATAAGTAGTTGCTTTTTATTTTTGACCTTTTTAGTTGTCATAGTGTAGTCTTATATTGTAGCTGCTTTTTGCCGTATATTGATCACTCTGCAGGTTTGGGTAAAAATTCATTTTAAACTAAGGAAATGGAATATATAATTGCTCTGATACAAAGTTTTAAGTTAGATATTTAAAGAGTATAATTTATTATATAGAAACTTAAAAATTTTTATATGCTGTTATATCAAATAAGCATACTATTTAGTATTTTCTGGTTTCGTACTTGAAACTAAATAATAGCTAATAACATTAAATATTTGCTATAGTAAATATGTCTTTAGCGATTTTGTAATTAAACTTATTTAATTAGCAAATTAAACTTATATAATTAGCAAATTAAACTGATAATCTGAATGCACATTCCCTAAAAAATTACCATCAGGTATCTGTAATGAAACTTGGGCCTTGAGTATGGGTAGTCTAGACCACTGTGCACCTTTGAGTTTGCCATCAGTCCTTCTAATCTTGGCTTCCTTTGCTTGATACATAGTAGATGCTCATCAGATGTTTGTTGAGTGAACCACTGCAGAGTATTTGGGAATACATTGGTTCACTGTTGTATAGTCATCCCTTGTTTTACACACTATAAGTATCTTTTTGGAAAGTTAGTCAGAAAGCAAATAACATTTCGACGCTGACTTCCATTAAGTTAGATGTTCTTACAGAAACATCTCCCTGTATGGGTATAGTTGAAAACTTGTAAAAAGGAATGAAGTAAAAGGGTGATTACCTGTTGTGTATAACAGGTACTGCACTTCTGGAAATGGGACTTCCTTCTCAGCTGGTGCTCCTCTTCCACAGCATTTTTCTTACATTAGGATTTTGGAGTTGTTAATTTTAAGAGGGTTTTGTCATCATTTTGGAATCTAAGAATTTCCTTTACACCATGATTCTTCTTCTGACTTTTGACATTTAGAGTTTGACTTTAACAGTTTCAGCTACCTGTAAATGATTCCAGAGGCCCATGCACGTGTATGTTTTGCTTAGCATGAGTGAAAATGCACCTGCTTTGAGAATGATCTGCAGGAGTATGTAGCTCAGCTGGTGAATGGCTTCAGATGGCAACCCAGCTCTACTTTTCATAGGACTTTGTTCATTATTGGATAAGTATTTTATGGGAGAAATTTTATATTCTAGTGATATTTATGAATTGGATGGCTCCATCTCAGATTTCAAGAGGTAAATCTCTTAGCAACATCTGAATCTTTGTTCTTTTCCTTTTATCTAGACAGATTGGAATAAACAGGATCAGGACAAGAATAGGTTTGTAGCTACAGGGAATTAGTATGTGTTTATAGGAGACCTGTTAGCTAACATTAGTTCTTTTAACCTGAAAACATTTTTAGGCTAAGGGAAAAGTAAATGAGTAAGGAGACAAACATTTTTACAAATGTCTACTGTATGCCCAGAACTCCATCAGGCTCATCGTATCTATTATTTCATACTACTCAAAGTTTAGGAGGTAGGTATGACCCCCATTTTACAGACGGAATTGAGGCTCTGAAAGTCACATACTTATCCAAAGACCATATGTAAGTACCAGAACTGCCACTGAAACTCAGGCCTTTGTGATCTAAAGTCTCTGCACTTTGTCTTACCACTCCCCTCTGATTGCCTCTGGTACAGAGGGAGCGTTTATTGGCTCTGTAGTAGGCATTTGAGCCATAAAAGTGATGATCTAGTGACCTGCCATTCTTACCTAGTGTAGGTATGTAAAACTCCAAAAGCTCTGTTGTATTAATTGATTTTAAAATTCTTTGTATAGAGTTTACTTACGATAGAGACTATCTGCAGTAGTAATCTTCAAAGTATTAGAATGCTCATTTGAGAACTCTGTCATTGTAAGTGAGTAAAAGTTGTTCTTTAACAACTTCATTCAACAGGCAACTCTTTTCTTTGAAATATATCGATGTCCTCCATAAACCATAATTGCATATATGTAGCACAAATATTGTTTTTTTTATTGGCTTTGTTGCAAAAATAAGGGCTTTTGTTTAAATAAACTTGCTTTTGAACTGTGAAAATTTAATCGTGATAGTTTTATTGGTTCAGCTCTGGAGAAGCTGAGGCAAAGCTATTTTGCTTCAGCCAGAGCTATTTATATACCATCACTGAGAGCTCCTTTTTATATTATCGCGTTATTGCCTACTAAAAAAAGAGTGTTAAAAGAAAACGTAGGATTTTTTTTTATTCTATGCCCTTATTCACCACAATGATATTTTTAGAGGTTATTTCATCTAGTATATCTCTTCAGAAAAGGCTTTATCTTTTGCACAGTAGAGGCAGACAAGAACTCAGCTTGAAGCCATTCCTTCTCAAGCCTTCTCTTTTGAAGGGTGAAAGGATCAGAGAGAGTGGCACTGTGTGTGTGAAATGAACCTCTTTGCCCTTGGCCCTTCCTGATCAACACATCTGCTTTATTGAGGGGAGAAATGACCATGAATTTAACTGAGAAGGCCTTTAAGAAAAGGGGTTCAAATTTAAGAAACTGCTTCTTTGAGTTTCTCTATGCAGAAATAAAGATCAATCTGTGAAATTTATCCTCACTTCTGTTTTGCTTCCAGAGAAGACCATTATTCTGCTTAGCTTTTCTTTTAGAAGAGCGCTTTATTGAACAGGGCAGGCAGATAATCATGGTTGCAAATGTTTGCTGAATTGGACAACTGCAGAAGAGGAATGATAGTAGAATGGCTGTTCCAGTGGCTGGAATTCGTTAGCTGAAGCTTGGCGGACAAACTAACTTCTAAAAGAACACCAGACACAGTTGCAAACAATATCCTATAACAAAGCTGAATTTGGAAGCGTTAGTAGATCTGCAGTCCTAAAAGTGGAGTAGTTGAATCTCAACAGAAGCCTGAGATTTCAGGCCTGAAGGTGGGGCCTCAACAGAAGAATTTGAAAGCAGTGCATTAGCCTGCGGTGCAAGAATGCCAAGTGTGCCTGGGTCCATTTGTCTGGTCACAGTCACAGAAGCAGCACAGTACGTTTATACTGTTATCTTCAAGTATGGACATCTGTGCAGGGATGTGTACCTACAGTCTATTTATATTTAGTCCATCCTTTCATGTTATCATTGAAATACTAGACTACTTGTTAAGTTTCCTTTTTGATTTATTTACCCACCACATGAGACGTACTGTAATAATACGTGAAGTTCTATTTTCACCTTATCCTCTAGCATGAAATAGTATGTTTCAAAAAACATGATTATATAAGACCTTTTTCTTTAAAATGTAGTGAATTGTGTGCATCTTTGGGTTATGGGAAGGGATAGGCTGAATGTTGGGTTTCATGACTGCAAATCAATTTGCAAAAGGCCATTTGAAAGGTAATGCTTAATATAATTCAGCTTCTCTTCCATTAACATCTTGAACTATGGTGTAAAGTTTTGTATTTTCTAGAAATATAGCTGACATTAGCATTAAGGTATACAGTTCAGCTTATCTCTAGTGAAGAGTCTTTTAAAATTAAGTTAAATACAGCACAAAAGACATAGAAAATCAATAATATTTCATTTCTTATAAGTAAGATCTTTCTATATACCTTTGCTTGGGGTGCTTATAAATTTCTCCCTTTACAGAGTATTTTATAATAAATGTCAGTTATAGATTTAACTGTAGCAAAAAAATTGTGCAGGTTCTGTAGCACCTTTAATATATCAGGTAAAAAACTGCTTAGCTAAGTATTAGTGTAGGAAATAGGGTACAGTCTCCTAAACGATATATTTTAATGTAGTGACATTAATGGGAAAGCATTTAGGACCTTAATATGTGGAATATTGTAGGATTCAGTATATTGAGCTTTAAGATAATTTAAGCTTCTTTGCTTATTGGGTTACCTATCATAACCCTTTACACAGAGTAGAGATACTGTAAATATTTGCAGATAGATGTGAACTTAACTCACAAATATTTTGTCTAATTATTCCCATACTAGTGATATATATGAGATTTAGTTATCTTAGTAATATGTTTATAGTCAAGATTTCTTTCTTAATGTTAGCTTCATTAAAACTGAATTCTAGGGGCATTAGCAAGTGATTGATAGAACTGATAAAACTAATTTGTTAAAGTTTTAGAAGTTGAATATTGGGGGAAATCTCAGTTTTTTAATAGCCACGTATTTTTAATGCATCGTAAGTTTAAAAACGCTGTCTAGGGATGTTACTAAGGAAACATTTCCTCTCTCTTTAGGAGTAGCTAAGTGTAAATTAAGTATAGTTGACCCTTGAACAGCAGGGTTGGGGCACCAACCCTTGCACATTGAAAATCCATGTATAACTCTGACTTTCCCAAAGCTTAACTGCAATGCACCCTTGGTATCTGTAGGGGGTTGGTTCTCAGACCCCCTCCGATACCAAAATCTGCAAATGCTCAAGTCCCATATATAAAATGACGTAGAACAGTGCAGATAATCAGCCCTCCACACCCATAGATTCCAAACTGTGGATCAAAAATACTTTTTTCAATCCATTTTGGTTGAATCCATAGATGAGAACTCGTGGAAAACAGAGAGCCAACTCTATTTATTGAAGAAAATCTGCATATAAGTGCACCTGTGTAGTTCAGACTCAGGCTGTTGAAGGGTCAGCTGTACTCTCCATGTGTGACCACAATGGTGATTATTGTGGCAGCCATACTAGATAAATATTTTAAATTGGCCCTCACCACTGAAACAAGTTTTTTATTGTTACTATTAGCAGGGAAAATGTAAGAGTCTATAAAAGGCATTTCCTGGCTGTCAGATTTGTTTCTGCTTGTGAGAGGTTGATGAATTTGAGAGTAAGAGAATTAGACAGATACAAATTAAGACTGTGGTTTATAATATAGATGAAAAATGAGCAATTAATATATAAATCGAAATGTGACTTTTTAAAAAACGATATAGAGCATTTAAATTAGTGCTCTAGTTACTTTATAGTAGATGAAAATATATAAATTCTACTCTTCATCATCACTGGTATGGTGCTAAAAGATTATGAATTGTTCCAGTTGCTTGATTTCTTTATTCCATTTGATTATCTTACTGTTTCACCTTCTGAAGTGAATATCGGAATATTAGTTTAAGAAGGAGGCGCCAGAAATCTTTATATTTCTAGGAAAAGATGCCTACAATAACTTCTTTTTTCTGTTTCCAGTGATAACATTTGCCTCCTTAAATATTTCTCTACACTTTTTTTTTAAATAACAAAAGAGAAAGGCTTATCACATGTATCAGTAACACTTACTCATAGGTTCATTAGGTATGACAAATGTGGATAACTTTTTGAATATTAAAAAAATCCATTTCTTTTACAGATCTAAGATTTCATAGTTCTGACATGCCAAGAATTGATCTTATAGTATCTCCTAAAAATTTAAGGACAGCAATTAGTTTAAATTTTTTTCAGGTCAGAATGTAAAATATATTGTGTCGACGAGAGTAAAAATATTTGTGGTCTTCAGTAGACTCAATAATTCATAAACGTGGTAGGAATTTTCCTCTTAATCTTTACCTAACAAAAGATGGAGTTAGTCATCTATGTGCTTTAGACATGAAAAAGCTATTCTAAGCCCCAGTGTGGGATCAGACCGTGCAACCCTCACCTTACAGAAAACTGAAGCAGCTTTTGTGTGGCCTTTGAAATTGGAGAAGTATCGTTTCCTGCTGTCTCCCCAACAGGATATTCTGTTGGCCCTTGGCTCTTAGGAGTGTGTATCTTTAGAGTTTATAGGTTTGACTGTGGCTGGAGGCAGTCAGTGCAAGTGGATTTGTTTAGGGACAGACTTTTTTGGGCAAATTCTCATTTTAATACTCTTGAAAGGCCTTACTAGGAGAAGAAAGTTTAACTTTAGGTCAAACAATTGCCAACTTAATATTTATTGTAACTTCGTTAAATTCCTACTTACATACGTGTGCACATGAAATTTTATACTTGTAAAATATATTTTTTTAATTTCTATTGTTAGATATACATTATTTTCTAGAGTAGGATCAAGAATACAATTTTTAGTTTTTGCTATATTTTTTGAGTTGAGGGAATTATTAACTTTAAATTTATATACTTTAAAGGAAATCCATTTTTAACTACTCCTCCTAAGTTACTTACATTCTAAAACCCTGGCACATTTTTCTTGGTGTTGAGAAAACAATGGCGAAGAAGACAGAGTCCATGCTTTAAAGGAGTTTTTCCATTCTAGTTGGTTGTCATAGGCATTGTTCACTTAAGCAGATAAATGAGATACTTTCTGGTTGTGATAAGTATAGTGAAGGAACCAAAACAGGTAATGGTATTAGAGGTAGACTGAGAGCTGGAAGTGGGCAGAGTCAGAGAACTACTTTTATAGGGAAATAATAAAGGAAGATCTCCTTAGTGCGTGACAAAAGGGACCACTCATGGAATGATCTGGGAGAAGAGCTTTCCAAGTCGAGCGGAAGCAGACGTAAAGGTTCTGACACTAGAATGAGCTTGGCATGTTCTTTTGTTGGAAAGGAGGCTGATGTAGCTGGCACCATGGTCAGTGCGAGAGAGGGATAGTTGCTGAGTTGGGCATGTTGGCTGGGCCAGATCATTTGGGGCCTTATAGATGAAAAGTTTTTTTAATACTTACAGGACTAAGTCATTGGGAGGGACATGATCTAATTTATGCTTTTAAAAGGCTACTCTGGACTCTGTGTGTTGAACAGATTGTAGAGGGGCAGGACAGGAGGCAGAGAAATCATTTAGAATGCATTGCTGTTGTCCAGGGAAGGGGTTGACAGCTGCTTGGACCAGAGCAGTAGCCCTGGAGGTTCAGAAAAGAGGATGGATTTGTGATTGATACATAATAGCTCCGGAGCAGGAAAAATGTGCTAGTTCATTGCCTGCCTTCTTTACCTAAATCCTGTGGTTTCTGATAGTTGTGGCAACTTTGAATCTCACTATATTGCAACAAAGGAAAGAATTGCTCCTAAGGCCCATGAATGAGTTTAATTTACAGCACAGACTTCACACCAATCAGATTTTGTCTTATTAAATCTGGCAATTTGCAGTAAGTACTTATTTGATTTTATTTAAGTTTAACATTTTGTTGTTGCAGGAAGTATTTTCATATTTGTCCATCCAAGTAAAGAAGCTGTCAGAAGCCTACAATGAAAGACTGTTGCATACACCTCACAATCCCATATCTTTAGGTAATTTTTTTGGGGGGGGAAAAA